CCTCGCCATCGCCGCCTGCTCTTTGCCTCTGATCACAGTCAGGACTTCTCCCCTCCTTGGATGGGCACCATCCAGTGTCAGCATGATCCCGACCTTCACACTTGGTCTAGTGAAACATTAAAAGCTTTTCTGTCCCAAAAAACCACTGTCCCAGTGGGAGAGGCGAGGTCTGCAGCCAGCTGTGCTGGGGGCAGCTGGGCGTCCTGCCGCAGATCCCCCTGAGAGCAGGAAGCAAACAGGCCGGGGGCAGGGGCCGGGGCTCTGGGAGCTCACGCTGCCCTGGCCGAGCTTTTGCAAGACCGCAGAGCTGCGTGTGCAGTTGAAGTGAGCACAGAGCCCGGGCAGGGGCCCAAGAAACGGGAGAGACTCGCAGAGGAAGTGTTTTGAAGGTGGGACAGGACCCAGGACGCACAGAATTCCCCTCCCCGCAGAACCGAACGCTTGACATCGCTCCTGCAGGAATGACTGAACCTCCTGCATGTCCCAGCATCTCACCCGCCTCATCCTTGTTTTGACCAGCGAGGAAACTGAGGCACGGGGAGGAGAATGGCTTCAGCTACCACCCCAAACCTTGGCCCTTGGCCACCCAGCTGCAGGTTTGTGACTGCCCTCGTTTGTGGGGGGACTGAGCAGAAGTTGCTCCTTAGTTTTGGAAATCCCATGCTGTCCCCACAGGGCTCAGGAGAGGTCTGCCAGCGCCAGGAGCCTTGGGGGAACGGCACCAACTCCAGAAAAGAAGGTCCTGAAGAGGCCACGTGCTCAACCCCTGTCCCAGAGAGGAATCTTGATTCTTTAGCTTGCTGCTAAAGCCCCCAGTGAGGCTGTGGGTCACTTCCCACGGGCCGTCCATCCCAACATCAGTCCTCCTGCATCATCCAGCCACCCCGAGTCTCCGCCGTGCAGCTCCGTCAGTGCCTGAGGACTGTTCCTCAGCTATTCCTCAGCCTCCAGACTTCTCCAGCGTTCTCCAGACTAAACAAACCCATTTCCTTCCATCTGTCCTTGCAGGTCACGTTTTTCCTACACCTCTGCCTATTCTCACTGCTCCACCCTGGACTCCCTCCAGCTCCTCCAGAGCTGGGCAGTAGCTCGCCGAGGCCTCACCAGGATCTGGGACAACTGTTCTGTGTGGCTGGCAAACAGCATTCCTGTTTATCCGCTCCTCAGCACTCTTGGCTTTTTGAGTTTTGTTGCAACAATGTGACTTTTTTTAGCTCCCGTTGTGCTTCACCAGAAGCCCCAGATTTCCTTCTAAAAGCCCTTGGGAACGGCACCAGATCATGGATGGACCTGCTCCCCCTGCTAGGGCTGGAGTGCTGAACCCTGACCCCAGGTCCTGCTCCCAGACTGAGCTCCAGGTTTTTCTCTGGAATACCCAGTGGCCAATACTCTTTGCCTGGGGAGACAAGCCCACAAGCACTGCACAGACCTGCAGCCTCTTTTCTGCTAACAAAACGTGGCCAGGTCAGCACTGAGCAGCAGGCAGCTGTGCTGTGGGGAGGGGCTTGGAGGCTGCAGCCAGCGTCCCAGGAGCTGCGGAGTCGGGCGCTCGCTCTGTGCCCTGGCCCTGGGTGGGGAGAGGGGCCAGTGCCAGCTCCCCAAAGGAGCCAGGCCCAGCACTGGGCGAGGGAGCTCAGGACAGCTGGAGCAGGATGCTGGAGCTGGCTCAGACCGAGCCTGAAGCCTGGGAGCTGGAGAGAACAGCAACGCCGTGTTCCAGCTGTGGGAGCTGCAAGGCCAGACGTGGGGAAACGGCCCTGGCCGTGGGCTCCTCCACCCAGGCAGGGACAGACCGTGTTGTCCAATGAAACTACAACTCTGTGGCACATGGACAAAGATGGTTTTATGCCAGAACTGCCCTGATCTTGCTGTGAAGACATTCAGCTTTGCAGTAGTTCTAGTTTATGTTGTTCCCTGTAATCCCTGGAAACCAGTAAACCAGAGCTCCCCTATTCCCAGGAAGCTGCTGAGCTGAGACCTGTCAGTGTGCCTGCCCAAAAATCCCCTGGGCCACCTGTGCTGTCCACAGGGCACCGTGCCAGGCGTGCTCCAAGAGGAGGATGCTGTCCTGCTTCCTCCCCTTCCTGGTATTGTTCAGGACACCACCTCCCTGCACTCCTCCTCCATGGCAGCAGCTCTTTCCAGGTGGGGGAAGAGCCATCTCCTCTGCAGCTCCTGCTGCTGAAATATCCTCCCGATACACTTTTCCTTGTTATCTCAAAACTTTTTCTGTTCCTCAAGAAGAATCTCATTCCTTCCCTGCAGGGGAAGGTTTTTGTTAGTGGTTTTTTTCCCCCCCTCACAAATCTTAAATTGGAAGGCAAAACACGTAAGCCAGAGCAGGAGACCAGCAAGCCTCTAGAGCTGTGCAGAGCCCTGATAATTTAGTTGAGCTAATTAGGAGATCTGTTGATACAGAGCTGCCATGCCTCTACTCTGCAAATAACTCATGCTCTCCTTCTGAGTGTAGTTATGCTGAACCCAGAAACGTGTAAGAAGCTTCATGTGCCGAGTGCTTCTGTAATTAACGCTTGTGGTGATGATTTAAAAAGCACTTAGAAGTGTTTGAGTCGTGGGATTGAACCTTGACATCTTGGTTCCAGGAAAGCATTTCAGCACATCACAGGTAGCTTGTCACAGCCAGGCTTCCCACACGCTGTTCCCAAATCTCAGCTGCTCCTGGATGTAGCTTCCCTCAGAATCGTCAGCTCTGTGAATGGAGACAGTGAGGTGCAGAGAGGTGAACTGACTTGTGATTTTTGTAGCAAATGACACATTTCAGGTTTGGTTAGCAGCGAGACGGTGTCGAGCCCTGGGCAGGGTGGGCCCCCATCCCCCCCACCCTCCTGAGTGCTGACTGGGCTCTGCTTTAGTTCCAGGGGTGCCCGCGGGACGCAGGAGCCAAGATGAACGTGGGAACGGCGCACAGCGAGGTGAACCCCAACACCCGGGTCATGAACAGCAGGGGCATCTGGCTGTCCTACATCCTGGGCATCGGCCTGCTGCACGTCGTGCTCCTCAGCATCCCCTTCTTCAGCGTCCCTGTGGTTTGGACTCTCACCAACATCATTCACAACATGGTAAGGGAACAGCGTGGTTTCCCCCGTGAAGGAACCTCATGCTCGTGTTATTCACATCTCTAGCAGGGAGGGGAAAACCATAAAAGCACCAAGCAGAGCTGCTGGGGGCTCAGTTCACAAGCTGCCTTCTTTCCACCCAGCTCCCTCCCCTTCTCTGGCAGCCCAAGCCACTAGCTGTGGGAGCAGAGAGGAGCGTGGAGGCCGGCGATGGCGACACGTAGGACACGTGCTGTGGCCAGACACCTGCTGTTTATCTGCAGCTTGTGCTCCACTTCGGGAGGTTTAACTCGTAATCAGAGCAGGAACAGCCCCTCACTGCCCGCAGCTCCACCGGCTCCTTCCCACGGCGTTCAGTGCCTCTAGGCCACGCTAATCTCCTGATCCCAGAGATCCCAGCGCAGTAATCTCCCAACCACCTTCTTGGCTCCCGCCCAGGGGAGGCCTCACGTGTAACAGCCGAGCCCGGCC